GATAACTAAACTGCTGACCAAGTTCTATCAGTACCTAACCCCTTCCTCCAGCATTCTCTACTCCCAAGAGATGCAAAATAGCTCCTTTTTTGCTTGTTTGTTTGTTCATGCTTTTGTCCCTTTATTTACTTATGTGAAATTTTTATTTATTTACTTGGGGGAAGTGGGCATGAGCATGCCACGGTGCCTATGTGGACGTCAAAGGACAACTGGCAGGAATCTGATCTCTCCTTAGCCATGTGGGTTCTGGGGATTGACGTTGTAGTCCGTGATCAGTTGATCCTATTGTTTTAAGGCCCGTGCAAGATACAGAAAAATTGCTCACCTAATAGAGAGCCGGGGGGTGGGGGGTGGGAAACGAGTAAAAGGTGATACCTCAATCCTACAATCCCCTTAGAGAGCATGCCTCTATAACATAATGATTTCTAAAGAGGCTCTGATTCTTGAATTTTCCACCACTTCTCAATGGAACCCAGTTGGGAACCAAGTCTTTAACAATGGAACCCAGTTGGGAACCCAAGTCTTTGGCCTTTGGGGGCAGGCAAGATTTAACTATAATAATGGGGTGCTATGATGTTTTGATACATGTATACATTGTTTAAATTCAGGTAAACATTATATATATAAATTTATACATATATAAAATATTTTACATATAAAATATAAAACATGTATATATATCAACTATCATTCAATTATGGTGAGAAAATCCAAAACAATTTTTTTATCTTTGTGAAATTATAGTACATTATTATTATTATTATTATTTATAATAACTCTGCTATATAATGACACACCATAACTTTTGGGGAGCAGTGTTGGAGATTGAACCCACAGCCTATGTTCATGTTAGGCAAAAGCTCTACTACTGAAGTGTACTCCTAGATCTAGAATTTTTTTTCTTTCTAGAATTTTGTACCTTTTCTTTATTTTTTTAAGACAAGATCTCATGTAGCTAAAGTTGGCATCCGACTTGCTGTCTAATTGAGGATGATCTTGAACTCCTGATTTTCCTGCCTCCACTCCCAAGTGCGGGGATTCCAGGTATGTACCCCATGCCTGGCTTTAGAACATCTTACTTCTATCTAACTGTAACTTAGTACCCAGGTTATTGGCCTTTCCCCATCCCTGCTCCCACTTCTAATGCACATGAAGTATCACCCATTAAGAAACAAGGATAGTCAGGCTGTGGTGGCACACGCCTTTAATCCCAGCACTCAAGAGGCAGAGGCAGGCGGATCTCTATGACTTTGAGGCCAATCTGGTCTACAAGAACTAGTTCCAGGACACGGTTCAAAGCTACAGAGAAGGGGCTGGAGAGATGGCTCAGCGGTTAGGAGCACTGTCTATTCTTTCAGAAGACCCAAGTTCAATTCCCAGCACCCACATGACAGCTAACAACTGTCTGTAACTCCAGTTTCTGGGGATCTGATATCTTCACACCAATCCACATAAAATAAAGTTAAATAAGTTATTAAAAAAACAAAGTTACAGAGAAACCCTGTCTCAAAAAAAAAAAGAAAGAAGGAAGGAAAGAAAGAAGGAAAGAAAGAAAGATGGGTAGGCTAGGCAAGGTGGTTCATGCCCATAACTCCAGCACTCAAGTAGAGACAGGAGGGTCAGAATGTCATGGTCAGGATGGAGAGATGGCTCAACAGTAAAGAGCACTCGCTGCTCCTCAGAGGGCCTGAGTTCAGTTTCCAGTATTCACTTTTACAGCCTGTAACTCCAGTTCCAGGGGATCCAACACTCTTCTAGCCTCTGAGGACATCTGTACCCATGTGGCATACCCTCACACAGTTACATACACATACATAAAAATAAAGATTTAAAAAATTCAATGTTATAATTATATTACATTCTTAAAATGTTCATGGTCGTAGGTGCTTCGCATTCATGATCTCATCTAATCCTAATCCCTTCCTCAAGGCCCCACCTCTAAACACTGTGCTGGGATTGCATTTACGCCTACCTTCTCAATACCTCCCAAACGGGACAGCATTTCAGCGGAAGGTTTTGGATGACACCAACCACAGCAAATAGCATCCTGAGACCTGTCACTCTACTCAGGAGCACTAAGTGCTTCCATCACTCTCTGCTCCAAATTCCTTCTCCCTAGCTGAAGGCAGAGTGACCTTTTCAAATTGCAAATGGGTTCCTGTCACTTCCGCGCTCTGAGCACGTGAACAACTCCTCACCATCTAAGGGACCATGTCTCTAACAGACTCCGGTGACACAGCATTGGGATACCATGGTGTCTTTTCCAGAACTGTTGGGGACTTCTGTGAGCGGGAAATAGGCCTACATGATGTGTGTGTGCAGTATGAAATCATAGCCACAAGCCCAGATGCCCATCAAAAGATAAACTGTTGAATTAAGCATGATCGGTGGTGGAATTGCCTCTTTAATATTCATTAGCTACTCATTCGTTCATTTTGTTGCTTGCTGACTGATGAGCAGGAACATCTGTCAAAGATTTAGGGAAGATTTACAGTTTAAAAAATTAAAAAAAAAGAGAAAATGCTACCCATTAACTTTTTTTTTTCATTTGCTCAATGAGCATCCCATTTGTGCTAGCCACAATTTTGGACACTGACTGGGCGGTGTCCTTAGACAGTGCAGCCTGAGCAAAAAGCCCAAGCAATTTGCTGCCACTAACCCAGCTCTTCCAGACCTGGTCCCATCTCATCTTGCAGTCTCTGTAGTCAGTGGCTCCTTGTCCCACCCTTTCTGCCTGAGATCTGCAGTTTCTTAAATGCGCTCTTCCTCTTTTTATCTATTTATTTATTTTCTTTGCAGCACTGAGAATAAAGCCCAGGGCCTCCTGCGTGCCAACACCGAGCTATACCCACTATCTGGACTCCTTCCTTCTGTTCTTTTTATATTAGCGCATGTGCAGATACGCTTGTGCTACAGCACACCTGTGGAGGTCAGAGGGCAACTCTCAGGAATCTGTTCTCTCTTATGAGTTCATGGAATTCAGGAATCAAACTTGGGTCATTAGTGCCTCTACCTGTGAGGCCATCGATCTGACTTCCTTATTTATAGTATCCTTCTTGAAAAGGGATGTGTGTGTGTGTGTGTGTGTGTGTGTGTGTGTGTGTGTGTGTGTGTGTGTGGTGTAGTCTCTTCATGCTGTGGTGTGTGTGTGTAGAGAGATCAGAGGACAAAATTCTGCACTTGGTTCCCTCCTTCTACTATGTGGATCCTAGGATTGGACTCAGAATTCAAGGAGCCTTCCTTTATCTGCCAAGCCATCTTTGCAAGCCCTCTTATTTATATTCTTATGATCTGGGATAGGGTGCGCTGTAACACAGGCTGGCCTTGAACTCAGTATGTAGCTGAGGGTGATCTTGAACTTCTGATCCTCCTGCCTCCACCTTCCAAGTGTTGGGACTTACAAGCACAAGCCACCATACCTGTTTTTTTGCAGTGCTGGGGACTAGAACCCAGGGCTTTGTGTTTGCTATGCAAGCGCTCTACCAGCTGACCTACATTCTAAGTCCCAGACTGCATTCCTTCTGACTTACCAGACAGCTCGGAGGCTGACGGACAAAGGTCACATATTGAGAGCCAGTGATCTAAAGTAAAACCAGGAGTAGCAGGCGAAAATGCACAAAGGAATCCTTAGTTCATCCTGACTCAGCCTCTTAACTTCTACCCCCCCCCCCAATCTCTCTTTCTTTCTTTCATTCAAAAGAGACAGAATCTTAGGCTGGCCTCAAACACATATTCACCTATCTCTGTCTCCTGAGTGCTGGAATTAAAGGTGTGTGCCACCATTCCTAACTTCTTTGTTTTTGCTTTTACAAATAGGCTCTCTCTGTGTAACCCTGGCTGTCCTAGAACTTACTATGTAGACCAGGCGGGCCTTGAACTCATAAGAGACCTGACTGCCTCTGCCTCCTGATTGCTGGGATCGAAGGCATGCACCACCACTGCTTGGCTTCCAGCTTTTAACTGATTTTCTAATGCAATTGGTGCTGTCTTGATCACTTTGTTTTTGCTTCCTTCTCCAACTTCCTGATCTTAGATCATTCTGAATGCTTTTCTACTTACCTGAGACCAATTCCGCTGGCTTTCATTTTCTCCTCTCATAAAGCCTCAGTTTCGGGATAATGGCGTTTCCTGAGCTTTTGGCTGCATGGCACGGTTATGCGCTCCCCCCACCCCCACATCTTATCCGGTATTAGCACCCCACCTCATCCGTCACAGTGATCTCTGTAAAGCTTGACTGTAAATGTTGGCTCCAATTAGGAGCCATTCCTACCTAACAGGCGAGCCATTTCCCCTCTCAGGCAGAAGACTGTGGCTTCACAGACATTAACAGTCACCTGCTGACCCTAAGGAAGTTGTGGCTTGCTCCAGCTTCCTTCAGGAAAGTAGAAATGTGAGAATAACTCATTTACACGTCTCTGTTAATTTCTTCACTCAGCAACCATTGACTAAGCACCTGCCAGAAACTGTGCTGTGCAGGGCCTTGGTAGCCAGGGTGCCACAAAGATGCCCCATTAGATATGCACATATGTTCGTGGTAGTGCTTATGAGTCCAGAAATTCCTCTTCATAAAGTCTCCCCCTCTTCCTCTTTCTCCTCCTCCTCCTTCTTCTTTTAAAAAATTAAGACAGAAACTCACTTAGGCCAAGCTAGCCTTGAACTTAACTTGTAGCTAGAATAGCCTTGCTTCTGCTAGACTAACCAGCTAGAATAACCTTGCTTCCACTTCTGGAGTGCGGAGAGCACAGGCAGGCTAGGATTATAGCACAGTTGAGATGCACGCTGCTGGGATCCAGATCCAAGGCTTCCTGTATTCCAGGCAAGTGGTCTACCAATCAATTGAGTGGCCGTTCTCCTCCCCTAACCTCTGTTTTTTAGTCTTATCCCCTGAAGTTCTTTTTCCTATCATGAAAGAAGGAGAAGAGGAATAAAATTACTAACTGAGGCCCTCTGCTATCTTCTTTCAGCCTTTCTGCCTGTCCTGTGCCTTATAAGGTGACCAGCACGGAGGACTGGGAGGCCTGGGAGGCACAGGCCTGGGCAGTTCCCAAAGCTCTGGAATACTGAGTGTTCTTTGTAGAGATGGACAGCAGGTAAGTAAGGAAGGAACAAAGGCATTGCAGGAGACTTGAATTACACACTATCCCAGGCTGGGAGGTTCAGGACTGTAGAGAGACCTCGCTAGGGCTCTGATAGCCTCTGGGGACAGGAAGCTAAGTGTGACACAGGCTTAGCTCACCAAGGTATCTGTGCTGAAGTGTCCCCAGTGCTGGGAGCTAGATAGTATGTGGGGTGTGTGTTGGGGTAGAGGCCGGTAGGACTCCTGGGGAGCCCCACAATCCCATTTTGGCCTCCTGCTCAACCATCCTGGCAGCAGCTCTTATGGAACCCAGTAGGAGCGGGGAGGGGAGGGGCAGAAGACTTGGTCACCAAGGGGAGCCCCGCCCCCTTCACAGAGGTGGCCGAGGCTGGGGTTGCAGAGAGAACTGGAACTGGGCTAGCCCTAGGGGAAGGCAGTGCCGCCAAAAACAGTGCTTGGCCTGGGCCTTTGTCGTGTGTGCCACAACACTCCAGCCTTTCTTAGGGACGACTCAAGTACTGCCTACTGGAAGCCTAGCCTGGAAGTAGCCAAGATCTCTGATTCCCCACCCCCATCGGGTTGAGGCCCAAGCCTTAAAGCAGTTCCTCAATTTTAGCCTTGGTTTTATGTGTTTGTGCTATAACCAGTCCAGGGCCTAACCGTTCCCCAAGTGTTCCTGAGGGTCTCAGGAACTACAGCTGTTCCTCTTCCTTGTTCCTGTCACCCACCCTGTGGGTCTCTGATTGTGCCAGGCCCTTCTCTTTGGTCCACTCTCTTGAGTCACCTCCCGGCTGAATACTTGGTTCTTCATGGCTGCCCCTCCTGCCACCTTCTCTGTATGCCACTCTCCTCTGCTCTGGAATCACTGAATGGAATAGCACATTAGGCACTGGGGACACGTTTCATAGAGCCCTTGTTGTCAAGGTGTGTAAGTGACATAAAGAGTTCCCCCGAGAGGACCTGAGAAGAATTCACTGCCAGGCTGAATGAAGGACCAGGGAGTTCTTTTGTGGTTACATTGGTTCCCTGCCTCCTTTCTCCCCATATTTTCTAGGCTTGGCCTTTGTGTGAGATCCCTCTCCTAGGTTCGTCTCTCTCTCTCTCTCTCTCTCTCTCTCTCTCTCTCTCTCTCTCTCTCTCTCTCTCTCTCTCTTTTGCTGACTTCAAGAGAGAGAGAGACCTAAGATCCTATGATTTTGAGGAATAGGGTGTCCCTCTTGGGCCTCTGACAAACCATATCATGCCAAGTTCATCAATCACAGGGAGCCATCAAAGAGGCGATCCCAAGACAGAGAGGTCTGGGGAGGTGGGAAAACTGCTAGCAATCACAGCTGGCTCTAAGGAAAAGGGGAGCAGCCAGGCATAGTTCTAGATTCTGGAAGTTATGTGCTCTGTGCCAGGTAGGTCATGTGGTCCTGGGCTGAATCAGGATTGAGGAGCAATTGGAGCTGGACAGAACACCCCTCCTGTAACTCCATCTGGCTCAACAGAGCTAGAGACCTCCAGTTCCCACCCTGAGACTCCCTTCTGGCTCCCTACCCTAGAAGGTTGAATGCTCTGCCTCCCTGTTTACCCTGCTCACACTGAGGGCAGGGACCAGAGGGGAACCAGTGAGGTCAGTTCTTATTAGGTACAGTAGTGGGGAGCCAGGCTCCACGGAAATTACAGCCTCCTGCGACCATGGCTTGGGAACCTCAGGACAGGAAAGATGTCCTCTACAAGCAATAGGTCAGTTGTGGGGCTACAGTGCGGCTCCCCCATTAAAGCTCCATTTCTGAGCTTGAATGTGGTGGCGCTGCAGGTGCTGCAACCCTTGCCCTGCTGCACCCCCCCCCCCCCGCGCCCCAACCTTCCCCGGGCCAAGAAGATAACTTGGTTAGTTAGGATGGACTACAGTGAAGCATTGAGACTCCAGAGGCCAGTGCCCCCAGCCAAGTACCTGGGGTTCTCAGTGGGGAGCATGAAAGGTTATGGGGGCTGGGAAAAGAGAGCGGGGGAAGGGCCGGGACTCCCTTCCAGCCTCGAGTCTGGGGGCTCAGGGATATAAGGGAGAACAGGGGTGTGTGTGTGTGTGTGTGTGTGTGTGTGTGTGTGTGACAATTCAGCAGAGGTCGGGACGTACCACGGAGCCCAGTAGCGGCAGGGAGGGGGGGCGGAGGACGTGGTCACCGAGGGGAGCCCCCGCCCCCTTCACGGAGGCCGAAGCTGGGGTTGCAGAGAGAACTGGAACTGGGCTCGCCCTAGGGGAAGGTAGCGCGGCCAATCCGTCCCCTCCCCACACCCTACTCCGAGGGGGTGGGCGATAGAGAAGAGGTTGGGGTTGGAGCAGCGGTGAGGGGGCCCCTCCCTGGCACCTCCCCCCACCAGACTTGGTCGCGCCCGAAGTGTAACACTTTCTCTTTGTCGGAGGAGCTCCTCTGTTTCCTGTGCAGCAGCTCCCGTAGCGGAGGCACCGGTAGCAGCCCTGGCGGACGAAGGAGCGATGGCAGCGGCCGATATAGCTCGCCAGGTGGTGAGTGCAGGGCTTGGGTACCAGCCCCCAGCCTGGGAGGTGAGGTGGGGGGCTTGGGACGGCTGAGCAGACTTGGCCACAGCCACCACCATTACCACGAGGAGGGCAGCAGGGTAGCATCCAGAACCAGAGGCAAGGCGGGACTTTTGCCCTGGGGTCAGCTGCTTAGTCCCCTCTGTCCCCAGCACGTCCTGGAGACCTGTGGTGGCAGGAGGGTGGGGGGCAACTGGCAAAGCCTACTGGCGGGCAGCTGAACTTGCATAGCGGGAGTGAGCGCCTCCACCTCCCTTGCGGCAGCTGTGGCCCCGCTGCTGGGGCGTTGCCGAATGAATGACTGCATGAGTACCGAGCCCTTGGGTCCCTGTCCCCTTAGTTTGGCGGCACCCCTGAGCACAGATGCCTGCTGGGACTCCAGCTTGCTCAGAAAGCGGGTTGCGGAGCTGGGGGTAGCCTGGGACCAAAGGTTGAGTGTGGTGAGGGGCGGGGAGATGAATGACTGGAGTAGGGTTTCTCCATATGCATTACATATGTGACTGCCTCTGTGTGTGTATCAGTGTGTGCTCATATATGTGCATGGGCGCCCTTCCGCCTTCCCCGTGGCAGGGTTATGTGACCCTGAAGGAGTCGGCCCGTTTCTCTGTGCTCACCTATGGTGTGTGTTCCTGCGTCCAAATGCCTCTGTGTCCACTTGTGCTGAGTCCCCGCAGGGTCCAATTTGTGCGTCTGTGGAAGTGGGGGGTGCACTTCACCCGGCCCGTAGGTGGCTGGCTGTATATTTTGGCACGTTTCCGAGTGGTTTTCTGAGGGTCGGTCTTGGGTTCAGTGTGCTCAAACCTGTTGGAGCTGACATCTTTCTGGAGAGACTGAGGAAAATAGCGTGAGACCTGCAGAAGTAGTGTTCCCTCTCTTTTGGTGGCACCAACTCTGGGTAAAAAAAAATCATTTTAAAAACTAAAGTTTTCCAGCCTGGGATGTGCAGAGAAGTCATACCCAAGAACCCGAGGCTCCATGTTTGTTTGTTTTTAGATCAGAAGTTTGGTTACAAAGGAAGATGTTTCCATTTGTGGGAACAGTCTAGTTTTTCTATTCCACCAGCACCATAAGCTGAAGCAGAATGGGGTCGAAGTAGGGCAGGCATAGCCCACTACCCCGAATACAACCGGATGAAAAATGATAACCTTGTAACCTCACATTTCCTTAGAGACCTGGCTGTGCAATGCGACGCCAGTAGAAACGCGGGAGAAGGAAGCAGCCTCTAGGTATTTGGTATAATTGCAATTGATTTGTTTTCTAAACCCGAATCCAGAATCGGATAGCATTTTCTCTCCAGATAAAGAAATTTCCTGTCTGGCTTTGGAAGGTCAGGGTCATTTATTTGAGACCTTCTCTAGCCCTTGTACGCCCCGCCCCTGCCCAGAGCTGGCTATTCGTGCAGTCATGATGTGAAGGGCAGAGGCAGAGAAGAGACTATTCTCGATGGTGCTGGGATTGGAGAGATTGTAATATTGTAATATTTTGAGGACAACCAGGGCAATTTTCTTATCTGCATTTTAAAGATGCCGTAGGTTTTGAGGAGATGGATCCGTTTCCCCATTACACTTGCTCTATCCTTAGTGACCCCCCCCCCCCCAATGACACTAGTGATTTTCCTTCTTGTCATAATGAATTTGCATCGACCTGCCCTCCCCACTTGCCCTTTCCTGGATTAGGATTGCAAGGCCTGTGCTGGCAAGGGGAACATTTCAGAAGGCTGCTTTACCTTTGTTTTGCAAATGGGGGTGCAGTAAGGGGTGGTTTAGGGTCTCTTGATTTGCTTTGGGAGGTTCCAGTTTTCTCTGGCTGGCCTTACCACATTGTATACGGAAAAACATAATTGCATGGAGAATTCGGAAGAGGCCCAAGCACTTGAGACTTTGTTATCATGATAAATGGGTTTTGGGGAAGACTGACGTCACTCTCCATGCCTCCCTCCCCCAAGCCAGTGAAGCTCTTATTTATGTGTCATTTCTCTCTGCTTTCCTCTGAGTCTGCAAGAGGTTGTAATTCACCAGGGGAGGCTGGAATTAACTCAGGAGACTTTGAGTGGCTGGTTGCTTTTGGTTTCTTCAGAGGAATATGAGTCTAGGACTGGGGCAGAGACGACTAGAGAGCCAGGCTACCTGTGGCAAGCTTAGATGTTCTTAGTAGACTCGGAGGCATGATGCCATGGGAGTAGCGTCTTGGTGTGTATGTCTGGGTGTCTTCACAGAGTCACTGGAGGGTCACTGTGGCCGACTATCATTAGGAAAATGGCATAGGAGTTATTGTGTAGGGCTTACATTTGGGTGTGCGTGCGTCTTAGAAGTTCCTAACTTAGGTGCCTCCCATCTGAATGAACACCACAAAGGATTCTGGGTGACAACACTATTTCTCCACCATTGCTATGAATACCTGTTTGACTGATGTGCACAACACTATGGCCAGCCCTTATCAACCGTATCAGAAAAGTAACAGCTATCGTTCATGACTTTCCAACTTCCAGCCTAGTTGGAGATGCAAACTGTGGATACTGATAGAATTCAAGAAGTAGTAGAAGAGCCTTGGGGTGCTTCCACCTGTGAGGGGACTTGGACTGCCATTGTTTTGTGTTTTGAGAGGCTGCATGACTGACTCATCCAGGGTGACCTAGGAAGGCACAGCGTGGTCACCGAAAGCTCTGTCTATTAGCTTTCATTCAGTATTGCATTTTCCGTTCAGACTGTCAGGACTGTGCTTTCCAAAGTAGAGCGCGCTTGAGTCCGACTTGAACAAATCCCATCCACAATGTGGACAGCGCTGCCTTTTCCAGTTATAGTCCATTAAGCCCTTGCCTCTGATGAAAGCTTGTAAGGACTACAAGAGTTGTCTTTGCCAGGATTGGCCTGGAGGAGCTGTCCTCAAGTTACCACCCGCCATTGAGGAGAAGCCTGCTTCTGCGTTCCAGCCTTACAATCGGAGTAACAGTTATCCACAACTGTTATCCAAAATCAAAAATTGTTTTGAAACAGACTTTCACCTGTCAACCGAAGTTAGTCTGGAACTTCTGCCTGGGGTGCTTTGGATAACAGTTACCTTGTGGTTTTCCTCTTGACGCTCTTCCTTAATCCCTAAAAGTAATAATTGTACTCCAGAAAAAGAAAACCAAACCCCATAGGCTATAGTGCTGACTTAAGTTTATATGGCTCCAAACAGTGAAAAATTATTGATTCCAAGTCAAGGGAATAGGGGGTAATTTATTATACAGTTTCCCGACTGTTTAGTGTCTCTAAGATTTGTCAGAAACATTAGAGGAGCTGGGCCTGGGTGTGGTGGCGCACACCTTTAATCCAGCACTCGAGAGACAGAGGCAGGTGCATCTCTGTGAGTCTGAGGCTAGCCTGATCTACAGAGCGAGTTCCAAGACAGCTAGAGCTACATAGTGAGACCCTGTGTGTAAAAAAATATGAAAGGAGTGTACAGTGACAGCTGAAAGATCTCGTCCTTTAATGGAGTTCCCAGTCCAATGGTGAAAGCAGACACATATCTTTATGTAGGGTTGAGAGGGCTCAGTGGGGAAAAAAATGAAACAAAAACCATTTACCATGGAAGCCTGACCTGTCGGGTGATTTCTAGACTCAACACAACTCTCTGACCTCCGCACACATGCCGTGGCCTGCGAATCCCCACCCGTATCCTGCATACACACACACTTACACAATAATAAAGTGTTTTTTTTTTTTTTTTTTTTTTGATTTTCGAGACAGGGTTTCTCAGTAGCTTTTGGTTCCTGTCCTGGAACTAGCTCTTCTAGACCAGGCTGGCCTTGAACTCATAGAGATCCACCTGCCTCTGCCTCCCGAGTGCTGGGATTAAAGGCGTGTGCCACTATCGCCCGGCAATAATCAAGTTTTTTAAATCCCTATTTAATTATCATTATCCTAAGTGCTAAAGAGGAGAGCCAGTGCCTGCCATGAAAAGTCATTATAGGGGACCTAATTCAGCTATGGATGAAAGCTGGAAGCGAGAGGAGAGACTTCCTGAGGGGTTCTGGATAGGAAAAGGGTAGGTGTGAAGGTGGGTGAGATCACACTTCTGCCACTTGCTTGGGAACAGTTCCTTTGTCAACTCACCCACTGCTGTTTTCATTCATTCTTCAACATTTACTGACCAGGCACTGATTCTGCCAGGTCCTGTGCCAAGTGCTGGGGATGTAGTGGTGACCAAGGCACGGAGGACCTCTGCCCCTTCTCAGAGCTGCCAGATGAGGCAGGAATGAGCCCGGTTTCCTCTTGATATTTTAAATGCAGGAAATGTGTTGGTGGTGTATTTATTACAAAACTTCATTATCGTAGACTAATAGGTTTGTAGAATGCAATGAGAATTTGATCTGCAGTTAGATGCATAGCATTTCCTTTGTGGAGTGTCTGATATAAATATGCTATTAATTGCTGGCTTCGTTACTAATATGGTCCTACACCTTGTGTTCTGTAAGGGAACAACCCAATTGCTTTAACTTGGACAAAACTAATTAGGAAAGTTTGTCTGTTGGGGGGAAAAGCACTATTATAAAATTAAATGGCCCTGGTTTGCAGACTTGCTGAGATTTCTAGATTGTCAAAGCTATGCCTTAATATTAACAGGAACAGTAGAGAAAGCCCTTATTTGTTTGTGCATTGAAACTGCACATGAGACCCATGGAAAGAAGAAAAGGGGATGGGGAAGGGAGGGAGGAGGAAAGGGGAGGACAAAAAGAAGAAAGCCTTGCCTAGATGTAACATGCTTAGCTCTCTGGAAATGCTTCCATCTGTTTGATTTTCTTCCCCCAACAAATTCCTGATCTCTTCATGTTATACCTGCAGCAAGCAAGAGACTTAATCCAAAGTGTAATTGCTGATCAGTGGATAAACAATGAACCACCCACCAGATTACACAGACTCCCTCTTTAAAGGTACTAGCCTTTCCAAGGTGTTTCTAAGAAATAAAAATTCTGCCACGTCCTCATT